ACACACACACACACACACACACACACACACACACACACACACACACATATACACACACACACAAATACACATTTGTTTATCAGTTCTTCTGTCAATGAACTTTTATGTTGTTTATACCCATTGGCTATTATGAGTGATGCTGTTATGGTATGTGTTCTATGACATTATTCTTGGGGAGATGTGAACAAATCTTTACTCCCTAGAAAGGAAACCAAGAGCCCAAAGTAAGGATACTGCTAAAGCTCAACTTGGTGAACTAATGAATTTTATTGGGATTATTTCTAGGAATATGGGTGAGGGGTTACTTATAGGAGCAAAAGTTACAGAGACAGCTAGCTGCATCACCAAAAGCCCACCCAGCATGGGTGACAATTCACAAATGTTGGAAATCATGAGTATATTCCACAACCTCTAAGAAACTCAATAGGTTGAAGAACATTCTTTCTAGATAGTTCAGTTGGTCTGAGCCTCTTCCAGTCTCAGCACACTTGAGGGTGACTCTCAGCAGTCCTTGCTGGTCATATATGCTTGTGGAGAGAGGGTCCTATTGAATCTGGTTAATTTCAGGGACTTCCTGCAGCTGTTTTGAGTTGTATAAGGCACTTAAGGAGCTTCCTTGTAGGATGGACTATTTTAGCTCCCCACAGAACATCCTGATGTTTAACCTCTCTGCAAATATCCTGGGTCTTAAGCTACTCTCTAAGACAGCAGGTTTTAATCTTGGTGGAAATGGCTTTATAACAGTGTGCAAGTATCTTTCTGAGCCCCTGTTCTCAATTCTTTTGGATACATACTTAGAAGTGTAATTGATGGATGCTATGATGCTTCTGTATTTAATGTCTTTTAAAGAACTGCTGCATTATTTTCTACAACTCTTGTACCATTTTGCATTCCCATAAGCCATAAATAAACATTCAAATTTCTCTGTACTGTGCCAATGCTTCACTATAATATTTTTGAAAATATCTATATTACAAAAAAAAAAGTTCAAAAGTATTATATCACTTGCTCAAAGTAACAGTATGAATGTGTGGAAACAGTAAGCAGTGGCGTTGTTTCAGCTTTTTTTATTATTGGGAAAATTAAAGAATCTGTATTCTTTGAGAGTCTCTCCTGTGTTTATTTATTGATTCTGAGTTGCAGAAGAAGGCAGCTCACACATTGAGAAAATATTTCATAAAAGGAGGCATGCTCTTCTCTCAAGGTACCAAAGAAAATAAATGGCTACATAAATACCAGGAAGGATGTAGGCTAGCTGCTGAGTGGCTGGCATTAGTAAGATACTGGGAATTGTTATCGAAGAATGCTTTGACAGAGTTCAGGATCCCCAAAGAGGCTGTACATTGCGTTCCACTCTAGCAGAGTCTGAAGGCATGGGAAGCCATTCACAAAATATTTGCTGGTCACTTAAAAGCAAGGGACAAACTGGGTAATTTCCTACAGAATCTTCAAATTCTCTCATTCTACAGACTATTTCAAATAGACTTGAAACTTATTCTTTGTGGCAATGGAAAAATCTCATTTCCTTAATCACTTCATCCTTCATCTATAGAGAACACAGACTCCCATACTCAATAAAGTTTCTTACTTTCAGAGTCTACTAATATCTCAGAAAAGATATCCAAAAGATGTCTAGTTGATAGCTCTGGAGAGGACAGGAGGTCCACAAGGAGAGCAACAGAACCAAAAAATTTGAGCACAGGGGTCTTTCCTGAGACTCATACTCCAACCAAGTACCATGCTTGGAGATAACCTAGAACCCCTGCACAGATGTAGTCCATGGCAGTTCAGTGTCCAAGTATGTTCCATAGTAATGGGAACAGGGACTGCTTCTGACATGAACTGATTGGCCTGCTCTTTGATCACTTCCCCCTGAGGGGAGAGCCTTACCAGGCCACAGAGGAAGACAATTCAGCCACTCCTGATGAGACCTAACAGACTAGCATCAGAAGGAAGAAAAAGAAACCCTCCCCTACCAGTGGACTTGGGGGGGGAGTGTATGGAGAAGGGAGAGGAGGGGAGGGGTTGGGAGGGGAGAAGGGAGGGAACTAGAGAGGGGATATAAAGTAAATAAAGTATAATTAAAAAAAAGATGTCTAGTTGAGTAGGGGTCTTGAGTCTTTCTTTGGGCAGGATTTTCTTTTTTCTTTTTCGGTAACAGGACAGTCTCACTTTGTAGTCCTGGTTGATTTGGAACTAACTATGTAGACAAGGGTAGCTAGCCTCAAACTCACAGAGAGCTGCCTACCTCTGTCTCCTGAGTGCTAGAATTAAAGATAAATGCCACCATAGCCCATTTTGGATGGGCAATGTTTATGTAGCCTTGTTGAGTTGTTTTTCCTGTTCTCCCTGTGAAGGTGTAATGGGGTTGTGATTTTGGTCTGATATTGAAGACCACACCAGTATATGACTTTTATGCATTTTGAATGATGAAGGGTAGATAGAAGGTATCAGGCTTAAGGTATAACAGCTTAGAAGAAAGCTCTAGCAATGACTCCATGTATCTATATAGTTATTCATGTATCAGGTGTCTTTTCACAGTGCCCTGTAGGGAATTTTCAAGTCTGTGTGACTTGATTTATGCTGTGAAGAACCAATTCTGATTCTCTCGGTGTTCAAAATCACACCTAGTTTCCTTGCTATGGTGAAGTAGGAATTGGAATGGTCCACTTTACCGTAAAGAGGTTAGACAATAAATGACTTTGACTATTATTATGTATTCTGACCACATGTATTAAAGACCATTTCAGGAAAATATTAAAATGAATGAAAACTATTATAGAAATTATCTAAAAATGCAGGTAATGAGAAGATGACATGATGTAGATACTAGTAAACCACATGCCTCTGAAACACCAGAAGGAAATAATGACGCAAATTATTGAAAAAAAAATAGCAAGGGTGCTCCTCCTCCTCACCCGTGTGCTCTTCCATTCCTGTTTCACCTTTGAAGTCTCTCATTAGAGGCTTTAACGGCCTAAACAGTAAGTAATGAGTGAAGAGCCTCGCCTCATGAGTCACTTAACAAGGTAGCATGAAGTGCTGTAGTGGCAACTGTCCTGGCTCTTCCAGCTTTTGACAGGGAGTAGAGAGCACACTGCCATTGCCTGCTGTGGTTAGGATCTTCAGTGATTCTTTTATCAGACTTAGGGGTCACAACCTATGCCCCAAGACAAGTCAGCTCATCATCAATTCGCCAATTAAGAAAAAGAAATAACAATGGCAGCAGAAAGAGAGGTTTTATTCAGTGTGGCTACGTTAGGAAGAGGGACAAAGTGATCAGCGAACATCCCAAGTACATCTTCACAATCCTGAAGATCAAAGTTTAAATCACAGGGGCTTACCTCTACCAAAGGAAGACTGCCAGAACTCCCCGCCCCCTCACCACACACAACATGCTCTGCTTGCTACTTAATCATAAGTTAAGTAGTTTCCCTCTGCCGTATGCCCTGGCCATGGCGGAGCCTCACCACAGTGCTTAACGCAGTGGCATTCTATGGACTAGGTTCTCCTCAACTAGGAGCTAAAATAAACTTTTCTCTTTAAAGGTTGGTTTTCTCCGGTGTTTCACAGTGACAGAGCTGACATCACACTGACGTCACACATTTCCTCCTGAGAACCACACAGCGTGGAGTGCGGATAGGAGAGAAGTTACTGATACTTCTGTTCAACTATAGCCAAAATAGAGATGACTGCTTTGTTGTTGTTGAAATTCCTGATTTGTAAATTGGCGAGTGCAATAGAAAGTGATTTAAAGAGAAAAGTGAGGTGCTTGCATTAATCCCAGATGCAAGGAATTAACATGTTTATGTAGACATGATTTCGGATGACCCATCAGGTTCTGTAGAACTTACAGAACAACTCAAGATCAACCTAAACTAGACATCATTAAAATCAACAGATGGAGTCAAGGCCAACAGAACCTAGGCCAGTGCTTACCCAAACTTTCATCTACCTAATTACATCTCCCTTGGTGTTAGAGACCACTGAGACCAGCCTCTGCTTCTAGAGGGCAGCTCTACAAGCTGTTGGCTGCTCTAGTCAGTGCAGGGTCAATGGTAGCTCACAAGCTTTGGCGTCCTGTTTTTATCCATGCAACCGCTTTCTCTCAATTTTAATTACCTGGACTTTAGCAATTGTAGTAAGAACCCTAGGGGAATGTAATACATCGCATGCATCACACAGTGAGGCTAGCAGGGATCCAGCCCCATTTCACAATTTTCACACCCTCTCATGAACAAAGTCCCCGCCTACGTATGCTTTAATGCCTTATCCAATCAATTGCAAAATATAGAGTTAGGAAAAAAAAAATCAGAATTAGAACCTGGAGTTTTCATTTTCGTTTTATGACCTGTCATTGGGTAAGTTTATCTTTAACCACAAAAAACTCAGTGAATAAAATAGGTTACAGCAGAATTATGAACCACAAAACTTATAACCCTTTGAGAAACAACAAAAAAACAACAGTATTTGTAAGTTAGAAATAAATTGTTGACAGTAACCCACCAAGTTCTCTGGGAGTTGTAAGGCTTCAGGTCATTTCATCTTGGTCCCCAATTTCTGACTGAATTCACACCCTCACATTGAAAGTTTTGGCTGCTTCAAAGTCATGTGACTCCATGAAATATTTAAGCTCACCATCATCTTA